AATTCTCCTGCCTCAGCCTCCTGAGTAGCTGGGACTATAGGCGCCCGCCACCATGACCGGCTAATTTTTGTATTTTTAGAAAATACAAAAGGATTTTGCCATGTTGGCCAGGCTGGTCTCGAACTCTCGACCTCAAGTGATTTGCCCGCCTCCGCCTCCTAGAGTGCTGGAATTACAGGCATGAGCCACCGTGCCCTGCCTGCTTTTTTTTTTTTTTTTCAATTTTAAAAATCAGATAGACTCTTTAAGACTGTAAACTCCCTGAAGGTAGAGGTTCTATTCACAGTCGTATCCCCAGTACCTAGAGTAGAGCCTGGCACATAGTGAATTCTGATTGCCTGTTGGTTGTTGATTGACAGATTTATGCTTCTAAGTAGAATTATCTTTTGATAATATTAAATAAGATGTGCTAACGCAAAACTGATAGAGTTTAGAAATAATTAAGAATCTCCTGGCTGGGTGCGGTGGCTCAAGCCTGTAATCCCAACACTTTAGGAGGCTGAGGTGAGTGGATCACAAGGTCAGGAGATCGAGACCATCCTGGCTAATAGGGTGAAATCCCATCTCTACTAAAAATACAAAAAGTTAGCCAGGCATGGTGGCAGGCGCCTGTAGTCCCAACTACTCGGGAGGCTGAGGCAGGAGAATGGTGGGAACCCGGGAGGCAGAGCTTGCAGTGAACTGAGATTGTGCCACTGCACTCCAGCCTGGGCGACAGAGTGAGACTCATCTCAAAAACAAAACAAAGCAAAACAAAACCAAAAACAAAAAAAAGAATCTCCTGTGTTCATTGGGAAAGGAATATTTGTTGGATGGGGAGTTTCCTAAAAGATTATGTAATTTTTTGGCATTTTGACATATTCACAGAATTCCTGCTGATTGAGGTTACTGCATCAAGAATAGTACAGTCATGTGTTGCTTAAGGATGGGAATTTGTTCTGAGAAATGTGTCAGGCTATTTCGTTATCATGTGAAATCATCAGATGTACCCACACAAACCTAGATTGTACAGCCTATGACGTATCTAGACCATTATATGGTATAGCTTATTGCTCCCAGGCTACACACCTGTACAGCATATTGCTGTATTGAATACTGTAGTCACTACAGAGCATCTAAACATAGAAAAGGTACAGTAAAAATATGGTATGAAAACTTTAAAATGGTGCACCTAAGACACTTACTGTGAATGGAGCTTGCAGGACTGGAAGTTGCTCTGGGTGAGTCAGTGGGTGGGTGGTGAGTGAATGTGAAGGCCTAGGACATACCCTGCACCCTACTGTAGACTTCATAAACACTGTACACTTAGGCTACACTAAATTTATGCAAAATATTTTTCTTTCATAATAATAAATTAACCTTAGCTTACTGTAATGTTTTTACTTTATAAACCTTTTAATTTTTGAAAACATTTTCACACTCTTATAATAACACTTAAAACACAAGCATTTTGTACAGCTGAACAAGAATATTTCCTTATTGTTTAAGCTTTTAGAATTAAATTTTATTTACTTATGACCAGGTGTGGTGGCTCACGCCTGTAATCCCAGCACTTTGGGAGGCTGAAATGGGTGGATCACAAGGTCAAGAGATTGAGACCATCCTGGCCAACATGGTGAAACCCCATCTGTACTAAAAATACAAAAAATTAGCTGGGCGTGGTGGCAGGTGTCTGTGGTCCCAGCTACTTGGGAGGCTGAGGCAGGAGAATCACTTGGGTCTGGGTGGCGGAGGTTGCAGTGAGCCGAGACTGCGCCACTGTACTCTAGCCTGGCAACAGAGCGAGACTCCATCTCAGATAAATAAATAAATAAAAATACATTTTACTAATTTATTTATTTATTTTTACTGTTTCAGTGTTTTTTTTTGTTAAAAGCTAAGACACAAACACACACATGAGCCTAGGCCTACAAAGGGTCGGGATCATCAATATCACTGTCTTTCACCAGCACATCTTGTCCCACTGGAAGATCTTCAGGGGCAATAACATGCATGGAGCTATCATCTCCTATGGTAACAATGCCTTTCCTTCTTCTGGAATACCTGCCTCCTGGAGGACCTTCCTGAGGTTATTTTACAGTTAATTTTTTTTTTTTTTTTGGTGAGACAGAGTCTCACTGTGTCACCCAGTCTGGAGTGCAGTGGTGCAATCTTGGATCACTGCAACCTCTGTCCCCCGGATTCAAGCGATGCTTCTGCCTCAGCCTCCCGAGTAGCTGGGATTACGGGCGCCTGCCACCGCACCCGGCTAATTTTTGTATTTTTAGTAGAGATGGGATTTCACCATCTTGGTCAGGCTGGTCTCAAACTCCTGACCTCGTGATCCAGCCACCTCGGCCTCCCAAAGTGCTGGGATTACAGGTGTGAGCTACTGCGCCCGGCCAACCTTTTTTTTTTTTTTTTTTAAATAAGTAGAAGGAGTACATTAAAATCGTGATGAAAAGTGTTCTATAGTAAATAGTAAGTGATAGGAATTTTTAAGCTCCACTGTAATCTTGTGTATCAACTATCATATATGTGGTCCATTGTTGACTGAAATGTCATTATGCAACACATGTTTTCCCTTTATTTTGAAAGCCAACATTGGCAAAATTCCAAAGTACAATAATTTGCATTATTTATTCATTGCCATACTTCTCCTTGAGAGGTCCTATGGTAAGAGTTGTGTAATGACTTGAAAATGACTGGGTAAAAGAATGTGCCGGGATACAAAGCTGGCATCTGGTACAGATAGTTCTGTCACTGGGATTATTTATTTATTTTGAGATAGAGTTTTGCTCTTGTTGCCCAGACTGTAGTGCAGTGGCACGATCTCGGCTCACTGCAACTTCCACCTCCTGAGTTCAAGAGATTCTCCTGCCTCAGCCTCCTGAGTAGCTGGGATTACAGGTGCCCGCCCCCATGCCAGACTAATTTTTTGTATTTTTAGTAGAGACAGGGTTTCATCATGTTGGCCAGGCTGGTCTCGAACGCCTGACCTCAGGTGATCCACCTGCCTCGGCCTCCCAAAGTGCCGGGATTACAGGCGTGAGCACCCGCACCCGGCCCTTATGTATTTGTTTTGAAATAAACTAACAATTGCTAGATTTTTTTTTATCGTTAGCTCCAGACATCTGTGACATTTTCTTATCTGCATAATACGGTTCTTAGAGTATTGCTTTGTCATTTGAAATTCAACATTCATTCAGTAAATATTTAAGGAGTATCTCCCATGTATCAGGCACTGTAATAAGTGCTGGGGATATAGTTACGAGTAAGGTGTGAGTCTCAGTCCTAAATCTTCGTTAAATACAACAGTGAAGCTTATTTCTTGAAGCTTATTTCTAAAGATCAATATGGGCTTCCAAGCTTTAGGAGATTGGAGAAGCGCCATATGCATGTGGTTCCACACATTGCCCCTCTGTCATCCTCCCCTCACCCTTTACCTACCTGCATATTGTTTAGTGCTCTATGACAGTCTGAATGTCTACTCTGTGCCCATCACTCTGTTGGGATTTGAACGTTCAAGAAGCAGCAGATAAAAATGTTGTATTCAGTATCACTTATATAGTAATAAAGACAGACCAAAAAAATGAAGGATTTTCAGTGTACAAGAATTGTCTACACACTGTCTGTTTTGGGAGTTCAGAGAAGAAAGAGTACTAGGATCAGATTGATAGTAGAGGAATATCACTCAGGTGGCACTGGGAATAATTTGGAGGTTACTAACAGGAGGTAGGTGAATAATCATTTCTGAGTTGAGTAGGGAAGTGACATAATTGATTTGTGTTTTATATACTGCACTCTGGTTGCTGGGTGGGAAATTAGACTATGGTCTGGAGGTAGAAGAAATGAATGCAAGAAATGAGTCAAATTAGCAAGGATCATAGTATTCAGCTGATAAATAAGAAGTTTCCATGCCTTTCATTGTTTCAATATATTTTTTTTTTAGGCGGACATGGTGGCGGGTGCCTGTAATCCCTGCTACTCAGGAGGCTGAGGCAGAGAATTGCTTGAACCCAGGAGGCAGAAGTTGCAGTGAGCAGAGATCATGCCACTGCACTCCAGCCTGGGTGACAGAGCAAGACTCTGTCTCAAAAAAAAGAAAAAAATTTTTTTTTGCAATGTTTATAATAAAATACTGGGATAATTTTGTGTGTGTGTGTGCCAAGTTACCAGAAACTCTGATGTGCTTACCAGTCTTCCTACCTAGTGCTGTTATTTGAATCTTCCTTCCTAGGTGGAGAATCTACACTTAGACATCTGTATGTTCTCTTAGTTCTTCATGTCATTTGATCTTAGCTTCTGTTCTTATACAGATACTGTTGAAGGTGCTGCAGTTTTCAATTTTGGTTTTCCTTTCTTTATGGTAATCCTATTTTAATTTATAAGATCCTTTCAGGCAACTGAAGTATGCAAGAGGCAGGTGGAATAGTAGCAACTTTAGGTATTTAAAAATTCATGTAATAAATATGATGGTTTTGGATTATTTGTTGCATTGCCAGTGAGTTTATTATAGTATATAACAATATTTAATCAAAATGGCGATAGGAATAAAAGGTCCACTTTGAGGTAAATCATTAATTTTTAAGGCAGACAGGTTATGTTTTTAAGAATTTCTCAAGCCTGAAGAATATTCAATGTGTGCTCTGTGCCTGAAAAAGCTTAACACAGAATCCACAAAGGCGAAATTAATTTGATACTCAGAGGTAAGATTAGGGCAAGTTCCACTTCAGTTTATGTAAATTATTAAATAGTACTGTCAAGCATTGAAAATAAAGGAAGAGAATGCTTATCATCATTACATTTTAAGTGAAAAGATATGTCATATAGTATACATTTTTATATTTATTGTTCACAAATATTTCAATGTTGTAGCAATTTTCTACTATGTTGTAATTGCCTGTTCATTTAACCCCACTGTTTTTTTCTCCCCACCACAGCAATCCCAGTGCCATTGGATATTTTTGAATGATTAAATGTGCTACTTACTTCATTTTTGTGTTCATTTTTTTAAATAGAAAATGCATCTGATGCAGATTTATGGCTCCTGAACAGTTGCACTGTAAAAAACCCAGCTGAAGACCACTTTAGAAACTCAATTAAGTAAGTCGAAATTGATTTTTTTCCTATTTTGTATAATCAAAGTAAGAATTGATACCAGAAGTTTAGCTTTCTAAAAATGTCAAAATAGATATTTAGTTTATATTAAAAAAGTATGAGTTGGACTTTTAAGATTATACTGTTTTGAATTTGTCTGATAAAGAATGATACTTTTTTATTTTTTATTTTTATTTTTAAATTAAATTAAATTTAAGTTCTGGTTACATGTACAGGATGTGCAAGTGTGTTACATAGGCAAACGTGCCATGGTGGTTTGCTGTACCTATCAACCCATCGCCTAGGTATTAAGCGCTATATGCATTAGCTATTTATCCTGATGCTCTCCCTCCCCCCGCCCTCTACCAAGCCCGACTGTGTGTTGTTCCCCTCCCTGTGTCCCTGTGTTCTCATTGTTCAACTCCCACTTACAAGTGAGAACTTGCAGGATTTGGTTTTCTGTTCCTGTGTTAGTTTGGTGAGGCTGACGGCTTCCAGCTCCATCTGTGTCCTTACAAAGGACATGATCTCATTTCTTTTTTATTTTATTTATTTATTTATTTATTTATTTATTTATTTATTTGAGACAGAGTCTCGCTCTGTTGCCCAGGCTGGAGTGCAGTGGCACGATCTCTGCTCACTGCAAGCTCCGCCTCCCAGGTTCACGCCATTCTCCTGCCTCAGCCTCCGGAGTAGCTGGGATTACAGGCGCCCACCACCATGCCTGGCTAATTTTTTGTATTTTTAGTAGAGACGAGGTTTCACCGTGTTAGCCAGGATGGTCTCGATCTCCTGACCTGGTGATCCACCCTCCTCGGCCTCCCAAAGTGCTGGGATTACAGGCGTGAGCCACCCCGCCCGGTCGATCTCATTTCTTTTTATGGCTGCATAGTATTCCATGTGTATATGCACCACAATTTCTTTACCAGTCTGTCCTTGATGGGCATTTGGGTTGATTCCATGTCTTTGCTATTGTGAATAGTGCTGCAGTGAGCATATGTGTGCATGTATCTTTTTAATAGAATGATTTATATTCCTTTGGGGATATACCCAGTAATGGGATTGCTGCATCAAATGGCATTTCTGGTTCTAGGTCTTTGAGAAATCGCCACCCTGTCTTACACAATGGTTTAATTAATTTACATTCCCACCAACAGTGTAAAAGTGTTCTTATTTCTCCACAGCCCCTCCAGCGTCTTTTGTTTGTTGACTTTTAATAATCGCCACTCCAACTGGTGTGAGATGGTTTTGGCTTGCATTTCTCTAATGATCAGTGATGTTGAATTTTTTTCATATGTTTGTTGGCTGCATAAATGTCTTTTGAAAAGGGTCCATGTGCTTTGCCCACTTTTTGATGGGATTGTTTGGTTTTTTTCTTATAAATCTGTTTAAATTCTTTATAGATTCTGGATATTACACCTTTGTCATGTGGATAGATTGTAACAAATTTCTCTCATTCTATAGGTTGTCTGTTCACTCTGATGATAGTTTCTTTTGCTGTGCAGAAGCTCTTTAGTTTAATTAGATTCCATTTGTCAAATTTTGCTTTTGTTGAAATTGCTTTTGATGTTTTCATCATGAAATCTTTGCCTGTGCCTATGTCCTGAATGGTATTGCCTAGGTTTTCTTCTAGGGTTTTTGAAGTTTTGGGCTTTACATTTAAGTCTTTAATCCATCTTGAGTTAATTTTTGTATAAGGGGTGAAGAAGGTGCCCAATTTCAATTTTCTGCGTATGGCTATCCAGTTTTCCCAGCACCGTTTATCAAGTAGGGAATCCTCTACCCATCGCTTGTTTTTGTCAGGTTTGTTGAAGATCAGATGGTTGTAGATGTGCCGTCTTATTTCTGAGTTCTCTATTCTGTTTCCTTGGTCTGTGTGTCTGTCTTTACACCAATCCTACGAAGCTTTGGTTACTGTAATCTTGTAGTATAGTTTGAAATTGGGTAGCATGATGCCTACAGTTTTGTTCTTTTTGCTTAGGATTGTCTTGGCTATACGGGCTCTTTTTTGGTTCCATATGAATTTTAAAGGAGTTTTTTTTTTTTGTTTTTTGTTTTTCTAATTCTATAAAGAATGTCAATGGTAGTTTAATGGGAATAGTATTGGATCTATAAATTACTTTGGGCAGTATGGCCATTTTCATGATATTGATTCTTCCTATCCATGAGCATGGAATGTTTTACCATTTGTTTGTTTCCGCTCTTATTTCCTTGAGCAATGGTTTGTAGTTCTCCTCAAAGAGGTCCTTCACTTCCCTTGTTAGCTGTTTTCCTACGTATTTTATTCTTTTTGTGGCAATTGTAAATAGGAGTTCATTCATGATTTGGCTGGCAGTTTGTCTATTCTTGGTGTATAGGAATGCTTGTGATTTTTGCATATTGATTTTGTATCCTGAGAGTTTGCTGAAGTTGCTTATTAGGTTAAGGAGTTTTTCGGCTGAGACGATGGGGTTTTCTAGAAATAGGATCATGTCATATGCAAACAGAGACAGTTTGACTTCCTCTCTTTCTATTTAAATATGCTTTATTTTTTTCTTTTGCCTGATTGCCCTGGCCAGAACTTCCAATACTATGTTGAATAGGAGTGGTGAGAGAGGTCATCCTTGTCTTGTGCCCGTTTTTAAGGGGAATGCTTCCAGCTTTTGCCCATTCGGTATGATATTGCCTGTGGGTTTGTCATAAATGGCCCTTATTATTTTGAGGTCTGTTCCATCAATACTTATTGAGAGTTTTTAACATGAAGGGATGTTGAATTTTATTGAAGACCTTTTCTGCATCTATTGAGAAAATCATGTGGTTTTTGTCTTTAGTTCTGTTTGTGTGATGAATCATATTTATGGATTTGCATATATTGAACCAGCCTTGCATCCGGGGATGAAGCCCACTTGATCATGGTGGATGAGCTTTTTGATGTGCTGCTGGGTTTGGTTTGCCAGTATTTTATTGAGGAGTTTTGCATTGATGTTTATCATGGATATTGGCCTGAAATTTTCTTTTTTTGGTGTATCTCTGCCAGGTTTGGGTATCAGGATGATGCTGGCCTCATAAAATGAGTCAGGAAGAAGTCCCTTTTTTTCAGTTGTTTGGAATAGTTTCAGAAGGATGACTTTTTGAAGGTTTTTTTTGTGTGTCTATCTCCTTAAGAATGATACTTTAATGGGAACTTTTCTAATAAGTGATTTCAGTGTTTGTGAAGTTATCTAATAGGTGATTTTTGAGGATTTGTTAAGTATTAACTATGTGTTCTTCTCGGAGAATCAGTGCATACTTTGTGAAGTTGCCTGACACAGTCCTTGCCTCTTTTCCCTGTCCATTAGCTCTGTTCTAAGTGCTACAGTACCTGGTTTTCAATAGAATTGCAGTTTGTTGAAGGGAGGTGGGTATATTAAGTCCTTGCTTCTTGCTTTGTTCCTTCAAGCTAACGTGGAAGAAGTATCCTTTTTTCACATTTTATCTGAATCTTATCCCCATGCATCTTCTTAGAAACCTTATTCTAGAAATTATTTCCTCATTCCATATTTCCAACCTCTCCAACTCCCCTGGAACCTTTTCACTGGTATTTAAACATACCTGGGTCTAATCAGCCCCCTGTACCCCTGTTAGCTATTGTCCTACATTTTTTCTTGCCTTCCCAGCCAGACTTTCAAAAATTCTTCTCTTCTTAATTTCATTCTTATACTCATTCGTTTTCCCCTTTATTGGTTTTATTGTGAAATACATTAAACATATAATAATGTTTATAAAACACATACAGTTTAAGTAATAATAAACTTAAACATCTGCCACCCTGTGTAAGACATATAACAGTGTCAAGACCATAGAAACTGCCGTGTTTTCAATCATAACTCCCAAGAAGTAACCTTTATCTTGACTTTTGTGAGTCATTTTCTTGCTTTTATTAATGTATCATCTATTAAGTATGTCTCTAAACAGTGTGTTGTCTTGTTTAGCTCTATTTTGAACTTTTATCTGTTGAACTTATACCGTTTGTGTTCTTCTGAGATTTACATCTTTTTCTCAGCAATACGCTTTGAGATTTATTCATGTTAATGGGTGTAAATAACTCTGGTCATTCATAGAATTTGCTTCAGTTTATCCATTTTATTACTAATAGAGTTTTGAATTTTTCCCAATGTTTTTGCTTTCATGAACATTCCTGCTGTGAATATCTTAAACGTGTTTTCTGGTACACATGTGTAAGAATTATTCTATAATATGAACCTGGGAGTTGAATTACTGGGTAACATATCTGTGTACATTCAGACTTTATTAGGTAACGCCATTTTCTTTTCACAAATGGATGTAGTAGTGTGCATTCTCACCAGTAATGGATGTGTGTATTTGTTGGTTTCCATTCTTGCCAGTACTTGATATGGCCAGACTTGATAAGTTTTTGCAAGTCTGTTGGTGATGATGGTATTTTGTTTTGGTTTTAATTTGCATTTCTTTTTTTTTTTTTTTCTTGAGACAGGCTCTCACTCTGTCGCCCAGGCTAGAGTGCAGTGGCAGGATGTCGGCTCACTGCAACCTCTGCGTCTCGTGTTCAAAGGATTCTCCTGTCTCAGCCTCCTGGGTACCTGGGATCATAGGCATGTGCCACCACGCCCGGCTAATTTTTTTTTTTTTTTTTTTTGAGACAGAGTCTCACTCTGTCATCAGGCTTAAGTGCAGTGGTGCAATCTTGGCTCACTACAACCTCTGACTCCTGGGTTCAAGTGATTCTCCTGCCTCAGCATCTTAAATAGCTGGCATTACTACTAGCTGGCACCACCACGCCTGGCTAATTTTTCTGTTTTTATTGGAGATGGAGTTTCACCATGTTGACCAGGATGATCTCAATCTCCTGACCTTGTGATCTGCCTGCCTCGGCCTCCCAAAGTGCTGGGATTATAGGCGTGAGCCACCACATCTAGGCAATTTTTTGTATTTGTAGTTGAGATGTGGTTTCACTGTGTTGGCCAGACTGGTCTCGAACTTCTGACCTCAAGTGATCCACCCGCCTCGGC